CAGGGCTGCAGATATGGCCAATACACCCCTGCAAAGCTCGGGGGGAGTAGCAGCAGTGGGGTCTGCAAGGCTCAGACCTGTGGAGCCACCATGGTGCCAATCCCCTTGCCCACCGTGGCTCATCGTCCCCCGTGGTCCCACGCCCTGACCCTGCCCTCCTGCCGCCACCACAGCCAGCCCTGCCTCGGCCCCCCACACACACTGGGGTCACACACAACCCCCGTGCAGCCACCGCCACACGACAGCCCCAGCTCAGCCCCCCACCTTGCACCTGGGCGCTGCCACATGCTGGGCATCGTCCCACCACCCCCTCCCACACACCCGAGGGGTTCACACACCCGGGGGCTGGGGGTACCTGGCCCTCAGGAAGCAGCAAAGGAAGAGAGGAAAGTTCCCCCCCGCCCCGTCCAGCCGTCTGCCGAGCTCCTGCGCCGCTGTTTGCTCTCCGTGCAGCAGCCCCCCACCTTGCACCTGGGCGCTGCCACATGCTGGGCATCGTCCCACCACCCCCTCCCACACACCCGAGGGGTTCACACACCCGGGGGCTGGGGGTACCTGGCCCTCAGGAAGCAGCAAAGGAAGAGAGGAAAGTTCCCCCCCGCCCCGTCCAGCCGTCTGCCGAGCTCCTGCGCCGCTGTTTGCTCTCCGTGCAGAAGCGAGAGCTGAATGGGCCCCGTTGTGTCGCTTTCCCAGCAGCGCTCGCCAGACAGAGCCAGAAACGCAGGAGGAGGAGGAGAAGAAAGAAGGAGGAGGAAGGGTAGAGCACCCCTGGAGAGAGGGCAGCAACCCAGACATCGCCTCCCCCTCGCCTCGCGGGGGTCTGTGAGCAGCGGTGCTGGAGAACCGAAGCAACACCAGCCCGGCCAGAGCCTGTGTGGGATTTGCACTCACTGCGTCTCTGGCTCTGCCTTTCCTTTCCTGGCTGCGTGAGTCACAGGAGCTATGGAGGTGCAGGGCAGGAAGGTGACATCCAGCCAAAGATTGCAACAGCAGCAGTAAGCCCGAGCAAAAGGCAAGAAGCAGCTGGTGAAGTGGGCTGCAGGGCTGTGCCACATTTACAGCCTTGCGTTCTCATCATCTCGCTTCTCTACTTGTTTTGAAGAGGCCAAGGTGGCAGTGCCTGTGTGAAACACCATTTTCTTGCGGAAGAGCATGGAGGCCTTCATCTTCCTCCCCGACTCTGTCATTTCCCTTTTTTGGCTCTGCATTTTGCTCTCCCAGGGAATGTGAGCAGATCTGCAGCCCGACAAAAATCTGGAAGATTTGATACTAATGTCTCTCCCCACTTCAAGCCTTTCCCCTATTCAGCTGCCAGCACCAGTATGTCCCATCCCAGTGCCACCTGTGGACCATGGACATACTGGCCAGGGCCTGTGAGCCTCCCCATTGCCAGATGGCCAAAGCCTCCTGGCCACTGCCTCGAGAACCTTTGCCAGATGCCCAACGCCTCCTGGCCACTGCCTCGAGCCGGCATCCCCTCCATCCCCACATGCTCCCAGGGGTCCTTATTGCTCCTGTGACACAGCTGCCCTGAGGCGATGAGCAGAGGCCCCGGCTCATGCTCATCTCTGCAGGGAAGACCTTTGGGGATGTAGGTCTAGAGGGGATGAACCTGCTCCAGGCTGGCAGGAGTAACCCTGAGGAGCTCACTGCCTGCCTCAATAGACCAAGACCCTTTTTGGGGTCATGGCTGGCCTCAGGGAGGGCTAGGTGAAGGGAGTGGTGCCTGTTTTGTGTTACAGCTATGCTGGTGGCCTTTACCCTGCCCCTGCTGCATGCCACCAACACAGCTGTGGGCCCTCATGCCCCCCCCCCCCCCCCCCCCCCCCCCCCGCTCCCCTGCAGCTCTGCTCTGTCTGGCAGCACTGTCTCTGGGGCCCCAACGCCAGCCTGTCCTCACTGCCCACTGTCATGCTCCATGCCACCCCTGAGATGACCTTGCAGCACCGCCTCACACTGGAGGCCAGCATCTTCCCAGACTTGCTAGATCACTGCTCTCCACCTAAGGGCAACAGTCTAGAAAAAGCTCTGTGCAGGTGCTTTCAGGGGCCTGGGGAACCTTGACCACCTCCACCTGAACTACAACCTCCTCTGCCCCACTGCTGGCAACCCTGCATCTCGGCAGCAACCCCACCCACCAGCTGATGTGGAACCATCCACCACAGCCACCATCACCCCCACAACTCTGGCCACTGCCTGGCTCCCCCACTATCGCGCCTGGTTGTGAGCCCCCACCCCTGCCTGGCCAGCCACATGGGACACAACACCTCCCTGGTGGTGGCCTGGGCTCTGCTGGAGGCCCATGGGGAAGGTGAGGTGCAGTACCAGGCACCAAGACCACATCTGCCCTTTCCCCAGCCTCCCCCAAGGCTTTTAGCTAGTTCATTTACCCAACACTGATCTTGCCAGCTTTAGGTTCTGAGGCTGCAGGAAGGCTGCCAGTCTTTGCTCTCTGTGATGGGCATGGGACATGAAGGCAGCACACCTGAACTTCCCCTTGGTGGGCTTTAACCCACTTCTGCCAGGCCAGATACTTTTGCTTTCTGTTAAAGAAAATGTTTCACCGCTGCATGCAAGGAGCCTGATCCCATTACTGCCGTTGCAGGGATTTACTGCTCACAGATGCCCCCAAAATTGCCCCACACAGACAGAGCTCTGCCCCCACTGCTTTGCTGGACTAATGAAGTTCAAATTAAAAACACTCCCAACAATGGTGGTGCTTTTGGGGTGAGATGGTTGCACAAGACAGGCTGAAGCAGTACTAGAATGACCCCACATTCCTCCAGGGCACAGCTGGGAAATGGTCACCCTCTGGGAGCAACTTCTAATGGAAACCAGAGTTAGCAATTGCCATGCTCTTTTTTCCCCCTCCCCCTTATCCTGAGGCATAGCCCATTTTAAGGGACTTTTTTAAGGGACTTTTGACTCAATTTCCCACCTAGAATCAAATCTGCTTTCTGCAAAGACTGTCACTTCTACCCTCACACACTCCTCCTTCCCATTGACATCTAATCTTGACACTGAACACCAGGACCAGGAAAATCCTGCTTCTAAACATTGTTTACTTTCGAAAGAAACTTGGGGATCAACATCTCACAGTTGTTCTGCTACTATGTCTTGGCTTCCCACACAGGTTCATCCCCAGGACCTGGCCCACAGGCCTTTGCATAAGCAGCAGCGTCCCCCTGACCTTCGCACGCTCCATCAGACAGCCTTACACACACAACATGCTCCACGGGACCCAGTGCAGATGGCCTCCTGTAGAGGTTAACACTTTGGTTTGGCCTCTTACATCTGTTCTGCATTATGTTCCTTTTCTCCACAATGTTCCTCCAGGGCAGAAGGGGTCTGAAGAGCAGCAAGAGGCCAGGGAGCTCCAAGGAAAGCTACAATAGGTTCAAGACTTACAGAAAACACAGATTCTTTGATGTCTCAATTTTGCCCTCAAGCTCATGGCTGAACTTAACAGATTTGCTTTTGCAACAGACAGCTGAAGGAACAGGATAGGATGAGGTGAAGGAGGCAGGGCTCAGCCTGCAGCAATTGAAGTTCCTTCAGTCAATTTTTACCAATTTGGACACAGAGGAGTTCCAGCTTCAGTCACAGAAACTAGGAGAAAATGGATTTTGCTCTCAGCCTTAGGGCAGCCTTTTTTAATGAGGGGACACTGCTCTTACACGAAGGCCAGCACCTCCCCTGCCCAAGTGATGAGAGACACTGCCATTTTCCATAGAGATTTAGGGGCTTCTGCTGCTACTCCTTCAGCACAAGGAAAAAAAAGGCACAACGCTAATTCTTCATATTCTTATACATGCTCAGCTTTCAAACATGTGAACAGTGCACACAGTCCCAGTGTTTTGTCAAAGGGAGGAGAAAGGGAACACATTCCACAGGGATTTCATGGATTGTATTCATTTCCAAACCGAGCCTATTTAATTAGGAAGAGAAGGGAAAGGGACACGGAAAAGGCAGGAAGAGGGAACAACACAGGCAATGGCAAAAAAAATTTACAATAAAAATATGCTTGCCTCCCTTAAGCAATGGCCACCAGGGTCAGCCACACCACACATATATTTCCAAGCCACAGCACCAGGGGCGTAGTATATTAAAATACACATCAGCCACACACTGCCTTCAGCAAATGGACTTGAAAGAAGAAACAAAGGGGAGCAGATGTTGCCCCTCTGACCAGGCAGCAGCAGAAGGGGGTCAAGCACTCCCCTGGCCTGGAAAAGCAGGGGCAGCAGCAGCAGCATAGCCTCCCTCCTGCACAGTGCTGAATGCTATCAGGCAGGAGTCACAGTCCAATAAAATAAAATAAAATGCACAACTGGGTTGATCCTGATGAGAGCACTTCTGGGCCCCGTGTTAGTCTTGGCACACTCTTGCCAATGCGACCGAAGTAGAGAACTCTTCAATTCATGCAGAATAAAATTCAGAGCAGCACTGACTTAATCTAGCACAAGCACCTGCCCTGCAGACTAGGGAGTCACTTCATGAGGAGTAGAAAAAAATTCAGCAGGATTTGTCCAAGTTTATGAAAGCAGAAGGAAGGACAAACCTCCTACTGGGGAGGAGGGAAGAAAATAAAAAAAAAAAAAAAGGACAGCATGTCTGTATGGGCTCTGGGATCCTCTGCCACCACGCAGCTCTGAGTTCTCAGCTGACAACAGTCCTATGAGGAGGGAAGGGCACAGCACCATGTCTCTAGTCTCTTACAGCTGGTGGAGGGTTTGTAAGAGCATGTGGCGAGCAAATGAACAGGAGTCAAGAGCACGGTTAGGTCTGTGGAAAGAGGAGAGAGAGAGAGATTTAAAACTAAATTTAAGAACTGGTTTGTATCTGACTTTGAATGAGCAAATAAACACTATTTCAAATGCACTGGGCTTGCATGCCCAAAAGCCTACATCTTTTCCCCTTGGTTATCTCTTCTGAAACCATTCCCTCATTGCTGCAGAGACCACTGCTTCCTGTTCAGAGATTGCTGTGGAAAATTCTCTCTCCTGTTGCCAAGTCTGAGTCAGGAAGACAATGACAGAGAATCAGAACATTGATTTCCACAGGTACAAAAGTCAGCAGCAGATTGTTCATCTCTGCAGCCTTCCGTCTCATTTTGGATAGAATGAAGTGGGGGAGGTGGAAGTCCCCTCCCTCCTGGCGATAGGATTTTCCATATAGATCCACCTCTTAGGGCCCTAAAACACAGGAGATAAGCCTGCTTGTACTCAAATCTTTTCTTGCCAAGTCATCTGCTATCTATGACCCCAAGAACCATTCAATGCCCCACACTGAACTTGTTGACACAAGTACAACTTGCAGCTTACCTTCAAAGGGGCTGGGTGAGGTATTTCAGTTGTCATCTTTGGAAGACCCAGCCTTGTTTGCAATGAGCAGGCTGATTTTGTCTAGGCAGCTCCCCATTTTTTGAAATAGAGAACCTGAACTGCTGACGTTGATCACAGCCAAGCTCCCTCAGCCTCCACTCCTAACACCAAGCCTCCTCTAACACTAAGAGCCCCCTTACTTGCTGTGGAGTAAAACTGCCTGCCACTCTGTGCTACAGACTGTTGAAAGAGGCCAGTGATGTGATCCAACCCAACAGCAAAGAGCAGGGAAAAAACCCAACGCAAAACCAAAACAACCCTAACCCTTACAAAAAAACCCACCACCACCTCCAGCAAGTAACAAGCGGGCAGGCAGACAGCCACATACTTTGTGTTTCCACCTAAAAAAAAGATGGAAAAGCACACGTGGATTCACAGCACCCTCTTGTGTCCAAAAAAAGAAACTGAGGACTGCCATCAGCAGAGTAAGATGGATGCTGCTTACAGTTCGTATCCATAATTTTATTATTTTTCAATGGAGAACACTACCTACAACATCACAAATTGTAACTAAAGAAAGGAAGAGGATGACTACTCCAGAAGTAAGATCCTTGCAATGAAAGGCAGCAGAGCTCTACCCCAGGCAGCTACAAGAACTTTACAGCTCTAGAAGCCCAGAGGGGCTAACTGCAATCCTGAAGGAAAAACCTAGAAAATATCACAAAAATGTATACCAGTTTGATGCAAATGAAGGACTCATGGGTTTGACAGAGTGAAAGTAGATTTGTTGCAGAAACAGAGCCCAAGTGAGCTCTGCAGATTACTAGGTTAACCAGCCAGAGGCTTGATTTGAGGTTAGGATGTGATTTTGTTCTGACTGAATTCCAAGGAAAGACAAGGGGTGTAAGTTAATTGAGAAGCTATTTTAACTGGACCTTGTGGTTCTTGAACTGCTGTTGTTCTCTCCAGGCAAACTGTAAAGGATTTAATAGCTCTTCTCCCTCTTCCCATAGGGAAAGTATTTTAAGAAATACATATATTTAGAAAACACAAAGGTATATTGCTTCTGTATAGTGTTGACTCCATTATGCTGCACAGGACATAGGTTTCCCTATGATAATAGGAACACCTTGCAACAGGGGGGTTTGCAAATCAGAGAAAGCTTCAGCTCCAAGAATTTCATAGTACCAGCGACACTGCAGGCTTGGCATAAGCACCCTCACACCCCAAAGGCAGATCTGCCTTCTACTGTGAGAGGCTCTTGGCTCTCACACAACTTTTTCAGAACCTTTGAACATCTCACACTTTCAGAAAGAGACTTGTACTTGTAGTGAAATGCTGGCTATGGATTCAGTGGAATGTTTGTTGATGAATTCATTGAGACCAGAATTTTACTCTTATTTTGTCACATTTACCTCTAGATGATGCTGTAAAATACTTATTGGTACTTTGCAGGCCTGGAGCCTGGGGGAGGCCTACATACACACATACAAGTAGAGTGGGACAAATGTCTTTTGTGGACAATTTGTTTAGAAGGACACATCAAGTTGAGTTATGAGGTACTGTAGGCACTGGAATCTGACATAAGCAATTAGAAGGGTCAAATGCACTGAACCAAAGTCCCCTTTTCTGTATTCCAAGCTTCAATTGATTTAAAACCTCTGTTTGGAGGGCTGGGGCTGATAGACACTAAGTGGTACTTGTTTTGATCAAGCTAGGTCGCTGCGTTAATTAGTGCCTGATGAAATAAGCCATCATTTTCTTCACCTTTTTTATTATGGGGCTGGTATTGTATCCTTACACTGTACATATCTATTTGATCAACAAGCAAGATCACAGGCACAGGCAGCAGTGTAGGAAACAGCAGAAATCCAGTGATCTGTCTGGACAGTTTCACATGGCAAGTCCTGATACTTCTTACTTAAACCTATAATGACTGAGTTGGAAGTGTATTTGTTCAGCTGGTAAAGTATACGGTCAGGAGACAAACTGTTCCACTAAAGGGGCCTCTAGGTTAGTATTTGCACATGTGTAAACAAGGTAGTTAGTCAAATAGTTTTCCAAAAGTGGCCTTAGCATGGCTGGTTGCCGGACACATACCACTGCTACACATCAGCTTTGACAGCTTCAGCTACACCAACACTTGGAAAAATTCTCCCCTATCATAGCTGGCCTCCTTCCAATCCCAGTAAAACTAAGAAAAGACTGACTACCAATATTTAACTCCATCCCTATCACTCATGGTTTGTACTGACTACAAGTATTTGATGTATATACTGCCTTTCATCAGTGCAAGATCCAAGCTTTGGCATATTCCCCACACCCTGAAAATCAGGATGGTCTAAGCCTCATTCTAGAACCTGTTAAAAATCTGCTCTTACTCTATGTGGTACATGGTTCATGCTGAGCCAAAGAGCCACTGAGTTCCAAGCAGATTTCAGACCTCTGCTGGTTTTGCTTAAAGTGACAATTTTGGACTGTTTCTCCCCTTGACTGCTGAAGTCCTTGCTCTCTGGAGGAAAGGACTACCTGGGGTGTTTTTTTCTAAATTAGATCAACGCTAAAGTTCACACTGATTTAACCCAGAAGAGTTACGGCTTCCACTGCTATTGCACTATCTATGCTTTAAGACATTGAAGAAACTAAAGGTGGTGGGGGCGGGAGTTGATTCTATACCTACACTAGAACTAACAACATTAGAGGCAGGCAGTAAATGCAGCTTCAACAATTATGCTCCCAATTTAGTTCTCAAAAAAAACCCCATCCCACTAGCCTTGTTGCTGTCACAGTAGGAACAGTTTCATTTAGGAACAAATTCAGTTTTTGTGTTTGTGCTGTTTTGATCTGCTGGTGTTCAGTGTTACACAGCATGACAATTCAGGTAGAGGTCTGATGACCCCTGTACTTAGGAGGATGATTCAGAGGGTACAATTACATTCAGTGTACTCATAGTTCTTTCAGGCAGTGGCTAGAAACCCAGCAGGTCTCCTCAAGCTCAAAACACCTCTTCTGTGACAGGCAGTCTCTGCTTCAGAGACGGTTAGTTGCAAAGCCAGCTTTCTACCTTTCTTCTTTAGGATCAAGACTTTTTACTCTAAACCTTGCATTCTGGAGTAAGCAAGATAGAAGTAGAAGCCCATCAAACTATTACTCCATAGTTTCAGAACAGATATTTAGTGGGTTTTAACAGAAAGCCCACAGTTTAACCCTCAGTTTCACTAGCTCCCATGGAGAAGACTGCATGGCAAGTACAATACTCACTTTGTGACAAAAGCTGAAAGAACTGGGGCCAGGGATTTAGGGAAATAATCCTGCTGGACCATATGGTTCAAGGTCATAAGAATACCATAGAGGCTTGGAACAGCTTTGATCTTCTCTTCACTCTGAGAAAAGGACAAGAAGCAGCAAGTCAGACATCAGTAGTCACTATTGTACCTAATCCATTCTAGTTCACAGAGGCAATGAATTCTCTGTTGAATGAAGTGCTGCCATACACTGTAGGAGAGAAAGCTGTTCGCTAGATTAAGTGCATTGTTCCTCAAGACAAAGGTAGCCAACTCCATAGCCTCCCAGCACCAGCATCTGAAATAAAGCAGCATCAAGAACATCCTAGTACTTATCAGTTAGAGCCTAGTCATTGACAGCAGCAACAATGGGGAAATGGAAGTATTGAACTTGCAAGTGAAAAAGCCAAATCTTTTCAGAGGCCACATCAAAGTGTTCTCCTAAGGAATTTCACACAACTTCAATTCATAAAGAATTCATAAAGAATTCAGTTGCCTTAATTACACACATTTTTCTTGTATTATTTTGTAGCTCATTTTTGTACCATCTCCAGTTCTTTGGCAGGCTTCCTCCAGAACTTGATGCAGTATTCTCAGAACTGGTCTCAAAATTATGTACAAGATAAAGCTAATAGTCATCCCTACTGCTATTCCCCTGCTTAGGAGTAAGAATAACTTCTGTCATGTAATGTGATGTTAAATCACATGTCCCAGCTCTTACATTGTTTTCATTTATTCCTCCACCGCCATCCCAACTAAAGCCCTTCATTCTGTAGGCAGGATCTGGAACTGTGTTCCTAGGTGTATGACCCTGTATTTCATGGTGCTAAGAATATCTGTTGCTTGTATGCTTCCAGCTATGTGGGACAAAAGATGACGGAAGCTGCTCCCTCTCCACATATGCCTAATTCATCAACAGTCCTCTATATCACAGAGGATAAACAATCATCTAGCTGATCTTCAAGGGCTTTATTATCAATATCACTTCCTGATATGAGGGAGTTGTTCTGGAGCGCAAGTCTGTGCCTTGTGCCTCACATGTATTTGCTATTTTCTGTATGGGATAAGAGGCAGGTGGCAGTCCCCAAAACAAGCATTCTGCAGAACAGGCGGCCATCTCTGGTTCTGTTGATCTGTCTGAGAATTGTAAATCTCAGCATTGGTCTAATGTACACAGTGAAAGGCTAAATTGATTTTTAGGAAATTAAGATGTATCCAAGTATGTCAACAGCTGTCTGTACCACAAAGTGGATATTATCAGAAGAAAATCTATAAACCTAATTAAGAGCAGGCTGCTATAACATAGTTATGGCTATGCTGTGGTTTAGAATGGTCTTGGTCCAAGTTTCCATTCTCAGCTTCTACGACTTGAGGCAGTGAGAAGCATTGACCCTTGTAGCACAAGTAGGCAAAAGTGCTCCTCAGGTTTGCAGACAGGACCTCTCCCCAGTCATCTCACTGAAAGTAAAGCTACAGGTATTATAATGCCACTTGCAGGTTTCCTACTGACCCTCCATCCTTTCTTGTGAGAAAGTTTATTTCATGTAACTACATATTTGACTCTAGTATTTGGCAAAGATACTCCAAAGCATGAAGTTAAATGCTACTGATCTAGCATGAGTAGTTGGATATATGTTTTGAGACACACTACTAAGAGATGCCCTAAAGCACCACATTAACTAATAATATTGTAGATTAGACTCCTGGACATGGCTTTTTATAGACACCATAGTCCAGCAGCAGCACTATTTTTCCTTACCTGACTCTCCCTGCCTTTAGGGGATGACTAGGAATACAGAACACTTTAAGCAGAAGGGGTACAGAGAGCTGACACCTCCTTCATCCTAAGGCAATCTTGCAATTCGCAATTTCTGCTGGACCTGCAGACTTCCATTGTCCCTGGGCATCAAGCATGCACAGGCACCCAGCTGCTTCCATGGCAACATAATTACCCAAAATCCAGACAGCCCAGTCCTCCACAGCCTAAACAGACCATAACTTAACTCTTTCCTGCTTCCTCACCTTAAGTAGTCCCATGTGGATCAAGAGGCTTGTGATGAAGGCATCTGAATTAAATGTGGCAGAAGTGAAGGCTTTTCTCATCAAGGCATCTAAAAAGAAATAAACGCATCATATTAAACAATACAGAAAGGGATGCTGTTACAGACTTTAAGACAAGATTGATCATACAGGACCTCAGGGAATATCAGCTGTTAAAGGACTTCTGGGATGTAAGATCTGTTGAGATTCCAGTTGTCTCTGCAGGGACTAGCTATAATGTCTGAAACACTGAGACAGGTAAAACCCAGTCCTTAAGTATAAGGCCTGATTCAAAGGGGAAAGCAAACAAAAAAAAACCCAAACACACACAAAAAACCCCACCAAAATGCAAAACAACCCACCCCAAATTCCCACTCTGCCAAGCTGTCGTGGCTATTTGACAGCCAGCAACTAAGCACCACGCAGCCGCTCGCTCACTCCCCCTCCCACAGTGGGGTGGAGGAGAGAATTAGGAAAAAAACCTCGTGGGTTGAGATAAACACGGTTTAATAGGACAGAAAGAAAGAAGGGAACAACAATGATAATACCAACAAAGGAATGTACAAGAACAAGTGATGCCCAATAGAGCGATTGCTCACCACCCGGCGATCGACAGCCCGTCCCCGAGCAGTGATTTCCGCCCCCGGCCAACTCCAGTTTATGTACTGGGCATGACGTCGTATGGTAGGGAATATCTCTTTGGCCAGTCTGGGTCAGCTGTCCCGGCTGTGTCCCCTCCCAGCTCCCCGTGCACCCCCAGCTTCCTTGCTAGTAGGCCAGCATGAGAAGCTGAACTGTCCTTGGCTGCTCAGCAGCAACCCAAAACATCAGCACATTATCAACAGTTTCTCATCCCAAATCCAAAACAGAGTCTCGCACTAGCTTCTGTGAAGAAAACCAGCTCTATCCTGGCTGAAACCAGGACACAAGCTTCAGATGCTATTTGACCTCTGTCCTTTGCACCACAAAATGCTCTACTTTATGCACTTGAACATGCATGCTATGTGCATACATGCATATAAATATGATCAGATGAAGTAGAGCAGCAAGAGTTAGAACTGTGTCATTTTAAAGGCCAGCAAGCATTCACCTTTCATTTGAAACCACAGGGAATGAGAACAATGAGAAAACTTGTTCAGCTGTTTTCTGGGCTTCCTCAGGACCAGTATTCTGCCACAAGCTATGGGCAAACCAGTGCTTTAGCCTCTCATGTCTACAAGGTAGGCAAGGCACCCGTTTTGACCTCTGACCGTTCTGGTTTCTTGAAATGGGCAGAACCCACTACAGCAGCTGTAGAACAGTGCCAGACAGTCAGGGACCTCATTGTCAGCTGATGGTTACTTTTCTGGAAGGAAAGTAATTGCCAGGTTCTACCTTTCCTTACGAAGCAGGAGTAGTAAGGAACAGCTATCAAGATAAATACATACACAAGCACACTTCAGACAACAGGAATATCCTGTGCTCCATTTTTTGTTGGAGACAACTCATAATGGGCATGAGCCAAGGTCAGCACTAGCTCAGTGAGATGCCAACTCACTAATTTTGGCTGATTGGACCCATAACTAACTGCAGAGAACTTTACTGCATTACTGTTTTACAGACAACAGCTAACACAGTTTCACCATGTCTACATATTCCAAACTAAGAAATTCCAAACTAGCTAAATACACATTTGTTCGCAGTAAATCACTCTAAGTGGTCTTAAAAATAATTGATTCAGTTCTTTGGCACAATGTTGATAGGTAGCTCATGTATGGGAGAACTGTACTGCTGGGGCATTTGAAAAAGATGAAAGTTCGTGGTCAGATGCCTTGGAGCATTTGGAAATTCATATTTCCAAGTCAGAACATGAAGGGACACTATTAGTCCACACAAAAATCAGATCTAACCTGAATCACTGCTCTACAAGTGTAGAACAGTCCTGTGCCTGTACATTAGCTTCTGTGCCTTGTCCCATGTTGTAAATCTCTGCTTCCCGAAGAAATTAAAGATGTTTCAGACTGATAAGAAGACACACTAAGAGGTCTCTCTTTACACTGTCTAAATACTACACTGGAGAGGCTACTTCCTGCAAAATACTTTTTAAATAAACAGCCTTGAAAAAGTACTGACCTTGGAACACAGAACTACTGGCTATTGACAGCCTAGCATCAAGGAGATACAGCAAGGGCAGCACAGGTCCACTAAGACAGCAACTACAACAGACACTCATCATCAAGCTTTGGAAGTACAAGATATGCTAAGTTCAGAATGAATCTCTACTTTCACTGCACACAACAGCATGGCACAGCTTGGTACTTTGTTATCTGGGGTTTCCTGCTGCCAGAGACAAAACAGTCCAATGGCCTGGCCCACAGGGGCCTTCCTCTGCACCACACTGATATCCTTGACACTGAAACAGGTCACACCATGAAGTGAAGAAAGTCTCAGTCACCTGTTGTTTCATGCACTGCTGTTTTCACTGGGGCTTCATCTTTGAAGACCGAGGATATCCTTAGGAGAGTTGTAACTACTTTCTCTACATCAGATGTATCTGTCTGAAAGACAGAAGAAGAAAAAAAAAAATCAGCGGGCATTCAGTTCACTGCTTGCCAGCTACAGAAGATGGGTATCTGCTTGGGCTGTGACAAGAACTACAGCCTCCAGCTAAATGACATCAGTTTTGCCTTAGCTATATCACAAGGCATAAGCAACACTGTGAAACAAAGTTCCTCTGTGTAGAAACTCTGGTGCCAGTATAAGTGTTAACTGCATCTGCTTCCATAAGGTTCCTTAGGATCACTGAGGAGAAGATGCAAATCTAGGTCTCAAGAGACAAAGTTATGACCTCTGGGTATTAAACGATTCTGAGGGAGAATCAAGCACAGACGACCACTGGCTCACCTACCTGCTGAGCTATCAGCAGAGAGCACTTTGGTCCTAGTCGCAGCAGCTTCTCTGGTGATGGGAAAGCAAGGAATGTGGCAACATCCACAGGAGGAGACGGCACTGGAGTTGAATCCTGAAACAGGCAGAATCCATCTCAAATTTACTCTTGGAAGTAAATAAATTGATTCAGCAGTAAAGGCACGTAGGACGTGTCAGGACACAAGCGCATCAAGTCAGGATTTGTTCTATTCGAAAACTATTTGAGGCTGGAATGAGTGCAGAGTTGGACCAGCCAGGATATGCTAGCACAACTGCATGGCACTGCACATACAACATTCCCACCATCTTCTGGACATGGGAAGACTTTCTACCCGTGTTTGTTATGAATGCTACTCAGCCTTTCCCTCTATGCATGTGTGCACATGCACACTTTAACAAGTCATGTTTCCAAGTCATCCATTTTCTTTATTTCCTGCATGTTATCTCCCTGACTGTTACTACAGTGCCAGCCCACACAGGAATGTGAACTCCTGCCAGCACCAAGTTCAGACTCACTCCAGATCTCATTTCCTCCTTTAGTCTCCCCTTCAGCTGAGGAAACAGAAGTGCATCTGGAAGTAAGCTTACCTGTGAATCAATTATCTTCGTGGGAGTCAGTGACTCCTGTTCTCCCTGCCCTCTCTCCTTCAGCTGTTGCTGTTCTTCCTCCTCTTCTTCCTCCTCCTCTTCATCCTCCTCCTCCTCCTCTTCATCATCCTCCTCCTCCTCCCCTTCATCATCACTAAGGTTTGAGTGTAACATGTTACATTAATTACACACTTACCATTCCTGTAATTCAGTCACTCAGTTGACAATGGCAAGCAAAGAGTGAGGAATGCAATCAATAACTAAGACTAAGGTAAGTCAATCAATGAAAATGATACACAAGGCTTATCCTGCTTATGGAATGCCCTAATGCTGCTCCACGCTACACACTCAGACCAACATCCATCTGCAATGTTACAGTTCTTATTTTAAAACAGGAGAATTAAAGTGTTGATGAAAATTGTTGGAAAATTTCTGATTTAAACTCTGGTACCCTGCCTACCTCAAAGATCCCAGCACAGTTGCCATACTGAAGCCTTCAAGGATCTCCTGGAGTTGCTCACATCCCTCTTCTCCCAGACAGTTACCTAGGTTGATGGGGGAAAGGGATTAGACTCAACAGATGCATACAAGTTTGTTCTTGAGGATTTTGCTATAGATTCTTGTCTATCTCTTATTTCTGAATCGAACAGTTATCAGTCATTTCTATACAACACCTCAGAGGCCACAATGCAGCCTTCAGTTATCAGAGTCAAACCGTTGTTAAACAAATTTCAGCACCATTACACAACGGTTGGAGACAAACCAACCCCATAATTTTTCAGAGTGTCTTTGAGACTTCCTGCTGGTTCTATAAACAGCTCTTGTTCCCAGTGATTCTAAAACAAGGACACACTACACAGCACCACTGAAATACAGTGACCCAAGTTACGAACAGCAAAAGCCAACACTGGTCAAAGTTCTCCCACTCTTCTGCAGAGACAGGCACAGAGGTTTTTGTTTGCAAGTATGAAATATCTGAGATCACAATGAACAATTAAAGTTTTACTAAAAACAGGTATAGGTATCAGTTTAATCTTTCCACATTATGAGATGTACCAAAACTGCTTAACTTCAACAATTAAGTGAGTTCATGGCTTAAGAAAACTTCCAGGATCTAACTGCTTCCTGTCCCAAGGTCATCCACGTTCAGTTACTCTGAGTATCATTTTTTAAATGTTGACGATTGCAAGACTAGAATGTTGACAGTATCACATATTCTTCCTAGGGATTTCTAGTTGGGATCTGACTAGATCAGATACTTTGATCTAGCAAACTTACATACCATTGAGATCCAACTTCTCCAACTCTGTCTTATCTTCAATAGCTTCAGCAACAGTCAGAGCAGCATCTCGTTTGATCTCACAGAAGGATAAATTCAGTTCCTAAGAAGCAAAATAACATTTGTTTGCAGAATCCCTATTAACATCTGTCATCTCCATGAGTTTCATGTGCTCATGTGTTCTGGAAAGAATCTCATTTGAAGAGGCTATTAGCAAAAAAAGAAGTATTTTTAATTGGAAATAAAACCTGACACATACTCCTACTTCATATACATAAAAGAGGCATTTTGAAACATGTTGTTATTTTTAAGGGCAGCACTACTGAAGGTAACCACTTTACTAGAATAGCCACAGAGACCAGACCATTCTGACTGCTCACATAAAAGGTAAGAGACATTTCAGTCCTTAGCCATCAGCTGACTGGAGATCTTCACTCATTCAAGGGTCACAAGAGCATTCCAGAATTCACACACCAGTAAGTCTTACTGAAGAAGGGTAGCTACTATACTAAACAGACTGCACATTTGCTTTTGAACACTTAGGTTGCAAGTTAAGGCCTTCAAAAGACAAACTGTGAGTGGTAATACTACTGATAAACACAGCCAGCAGAGAAACACTATGTACAGACTGGTAAGACTGAAGTTATTCAACAGCCAGACACCATCCCCCACCATTCCATGTTGTGTTCAATCAATCCTTTCCTGAGAAGAGGTTTAATATTAACTCCAAAAGAGAAACAGTCCTTGAACAGAATGAATCAGCTACAATTGCTTCATGCTACCCTCCCTTAACCACTTCTGCTCTAGAAAAAAGTATTTAACTTCTGTTCAATCTCAACACCCCGATTAGAATCCTTACTTAAGTCTTCCTGGGAGATTCAGATGTAAGTTCCAGTAGAACCAGCAGAAGCCTGAGCAAGGGATCTCTCATCACAAAGCACCTACCTCTTTCTGTACCAGGTTCATACAAGTAAATATATATTAGCACTCAGCCAAATTTTTGTCTTTGTAAGCTTGCAAGATAAGGTATTAGTGTTCAGCATCTGTCCTGGTGCAGTTATGACTCATGGCAGCTGTTTCTAGAGATCCTAGTTTACTTAACATTACTGACTGGACTTAGGCCTGTCTAGAATGTTATCAAATACAAGTCCTGTGGAAATACTGATGTAGCAGGCTGTGGTATTGCCAAAAGCCTAAAAATATTTGGACCTTTGATACATGCCCTAACAAAGAAAAAGCATTTAATGCATAAACTCTGAAATGCTGAAGAGTTTAAAAGCTGTTCATGAAAACGAACATCTCAATCCCCGCTCATGACCCTCTCAGAGGTTCTAAAGGCAGATACTTCCATTATCAGATTTCTTGAATGGCACTTGCTGAGCTGAACCAACAGCTTCAAAAACGTCAAGTGGAGTCTAAACAGATCACTGCCACACCTCCACCTAGAACAGTCTTAGCTGGATGTGGCCATGCCACTGATCTACAATACAAATTATTGCTTTCATGTTGTGAGCACAGAGCCTGCACTGAAATGAATTCCACTTCAAAATAATCAGTAATGGTAGGAGATTGGACAGAAAAACAGGAAGTGGGAAACAAGGCATTTTCAAAAGGGATTCAAAGCTGAACAGCAAGACAACAATACCTTTAATTTATGAAGCCCTTCTTTAACAGCATCAGCAATAGCAACAGCACCTTTTGAACGCACCAGGCAGTCTCCAAAGTTGATCACTTCAATCTGCCGAAGTGCCTTCAGAGTCTGCAAAGACAGCACAAATTTGAAAGTACAGACATGCAAGTAAATTAATGTCCTATCACTCCTGGAAGGTCATCTTCCATACCGCAGTGTGGCATGTGGCTCCACCAACTCAGAGGTGCTAATGCTAACTATATTCAAGAACACTGGGAGGCAGAAGACAAACCCAAAGCAACTGCTTAGAACAACTCACCTCTGCCATGGCCACAGCTCCTTTCTCTGTGAAGGTGTTGTCATTCAAGTTTATAACCTTAAGCAGTGGGTTGATAGCAAAGGCCTGAGCTAGTGCCGTGATGCCAGGATGGTTAATGCCATTCTGTGGCATATGGACCTCTTCTAGAGTCCCAATGATCTAGGAAAGGATGCAGATGAAAAAGAGCTGTTAGGAGACATGTTTCAACTGAAAAGCATAGTTCTCCATTCTTTAGTATTTGCATAAAATTGTTTTCCTCCAACTCAAAATTCCATTAGCTCTTATACATAAAACTATTTGCCAGCAATTATGGCACAAATCTAAGCGAAATTGCAGGCTCATGGTAAGTGTCAGATTAATATAAAGGCCCTGATTCTAAGAGTCACAGGTAGCATCCTCCCAGCGTGTTGCTCTAGGATACCTTAAAACAAGAGTTCTTCACCTGTGGTTCAATAACCCTGAAACAGACCAAGCAACATCACTGGACACAATTTTTTTTTTTTTTTTGATTAAGATCTACATTGCACTCTGACTGCAGTAGCAAACCTGTAAGAAAATTAGTATGAACACTGTTTATGGGCTAAACAACGTCACACACATACACAGTAATGAATCCCATTTTGGTAGTGCCATTCAGTTTGAGTTCCTCATGAATCACTTTATGTGCCTCTCAATTGTGCCTCTCATGATTAGTCAAAATCACATCCAGACTGCCTATAACCTGCAATATCATTGTTAATATGTCTGAAAATATGCATTATAATTCAGAAGTTGCTTTTAGCAGCAGTGAAGGAAGGAAAAGAAAAGTAGGTGGCCCAACCACAGTGAATTGTCTTCCTCCAACAAAAGTGCAAGTTGGCCAGTGACCACTACAGAAAGACAGGCACCATTTAGAGCCCTCACAGGGTGATCCTAGCGAAAACACTAGGTTGCTTTTACCAGATGATTGAACAACTAGGCAGAGAAACATTCCAGAGGTCAGCTGGTACACCTACCCCAGTGCCAGATAACCTCCATTAGTACAGAGAGAGGAGAAGGAATAAGACTACTATTAATCTACTCAGGAGATGCCTATTTCTCTGAGGGAGAGACCAAACACAGACACTAGTTATGTGTTTGGAAACTTAAGTCACAAACATGCAGCCATCAATTCTAACTGCACTTGTTGAAGATTCTAGTTTCAGCAAATATCACCGTGACTTTAGTGAACCAACAACCAGCCACTGCCTCCAAGCTCAGGCAAGTTCTGAATGCATTATGTTTAACACTAGCATGTTAAATGCTTAAGTACCCACTTAAGCATATCTTGCTCCAATTTGCTTTCAAGCAGCTCTGGTTTGGTACTTACCCCAAAGGCTTCAGCCAGGGCAGTGGCACCATCATTCTCCAGACGATTTCTGCCAGCCACAAATATTTTCAAAGCAAGAGGCTTGCCCTGGGCACTCGATTTCCTGTGACCCTCTTTCAGAGCAGCTGCCAATATCTAGAGATAAAACAAGCAATTTTTACTACCTCAGCATCTCATTCTGAAGGCATCCAAATGTGGTTTGCATATCCAGCTTTCAAAAAATACTTCAGTCACTGCTGAAATGCACCTGCTTCCACAGGTAGGGTATACAATAAAACTGTCTAATTACAACACTTGAACACTACAGTCTTAGGCAAGAAGTGGTAATTTTGCAACACTAGAACACACTGACCCCATTAAAAACATTTGATTCTTAAACAGGCAAACATATAGGGTCCTCGTGATAATGACAGTTAGTCCTGGTTTTCCACTTCATCCAACAGGCATCCTTTAGTGCTAGGCTTGGTAATACTGTTCTCTCAAATCCAAAGCTACTGGCTCTCTTGACATGGAATCTAATGTTTAGGATAGAACTGTTTTTCTATCCTGGAAAAAACAGATGAGCTTTCCATATTTCAGAAATTTATCCATAAAAGCCTGTAGAGGGAAGGGATCTTGAGATTGGAGAAATGGGCCAACAAGAATCTCATTAAGCTTAAAGGGAAATGTGAAGTCCTGCAAATGGGAAGGAATAACCCCATGTACCAGCATAAGCTGGGGGTCACCTGGAGGCAAAATAGCTTGGCAGAAAAGAACCTGGGGGTCCTGGTGGGAGAGAATTTGACTATGAGCTAGCAATATGTGCTTGCAGCAAAGAAAGCCTACTGGGCTGCCTTGGGAAAAGCACTGTTAGCAGGTCAAGGGAAGTGATCCTTCTCCTCTACTCAGCCCTGTGAAACACATCCGAGTGCTGTGTCCAGTTCCAGACTCCTACATGGACATACTGGGGTGAGTCCAGCAAAGGGTCTCAAGGATGATTAAGGAATTGGAGAATTTTACACACTGGGAGAGTGCTGAGAGCTAGGATTATTAAGGCTGCAGAAGAGAAGGCCCTGGGGAGGTCTTATCTATGTGTAAGAACAGTCGGAATACCAGGGTGGAAGCAGGGGGAGGAGATGTTGTGAAGGCAGCAGAGACAGACACAAATGCAAACCAACACAGAGAAAATTCCATTTAAATACAAAACCTGCTTTTTTTTCCGTGAGGGTTGTTACACATTGGGACAGACTATCCAGAGAGCCTGTGAGGTCTCCATCCTTTGAGATATTCACAACCTGACTAGACACAGCCCTCAGCAACTTGGTCTAGTTGCCTTGAGCAGGGGAGTTGAACTAGATGATCACCAAAGATCCCTTCCAACCTCAACCATTCTGTGATTCTGTGTAGGGCAGTCTGAAGCCAAGTCCTAGCTCTGACCTCACTCCCAAAAAGGGGACAACCCTTACCTTGCCACCACCAATGCCCATGCCACAGTTATTGAGCTTGAGTTCCTGTAGGGTGTAGCATGCAGGGCTCTTCAACAGTGCCTCAAAGCCACGCACGCCATCTGGCCCAAAGGCATTGTCACTTAGGTCTAGCTCCACCAGCTGGGCTCCAGCAGTGATGAGCGCATCCCCCAAAGAGATCTGTAAGGAAACAGATGGCAGTGGGTGGGAGGGAGTGGACTGACTTTTAGTGACAGCATCACTGCAGTGGCTAGGTATGACAGTGATGCTGCAAAAAATTTCCACTTTGAAGACATTCTGCAAAGCTGCATGGGAAAATAAAACTTTACAGCTAAAGCCAGAGAAGAAGTTGTACAAATTAAGCTACAGATAACCATAAGGCAGTTACCAAGAATTTAGCCCATCCTTTTAGGTCAAATACCTGTTTTTCAAAGTGAGTTTCCCCCTCTACACTGCTAAGAGAAATATTGTTTTCATTCTGTTGAGTTTATCATGTTCTTGCTTTACAGTACTCAAGGAGGTGGGGAGCTCTGTAATGCTCTTGGAAGAGATGGCCATATGCTTTTATTTAGAAAGCTTAGTTCCCATTCTATCTATTGGATCATGGGGATGTTTTCCCCAGTGACAAGCTTCCTCACTGGCATGGACTTGCATTTGGCCTTTTATCAACTCTTCTCCACCTCATACAGAACGAGCAAAAAAGAATCACTCACCTATTCCAAGACACTTAGTGTTAACAGCATAGAGAAAGATCAGCTCTGTGCTAAAACACATACTCCCACAAAACGCAGGACAGGTGAGAAAAGAAGTTATATTAGTCAGAAGTCTCAGATCTAGTTTTCACTTACCAATGCAGGAGGGATCTCAGACCTTAGTCTCCCCGTGAACATGTCACTCCAATGACACCTCTAAAATAAGAAACATACTGATAGAAACCATTAAAAATACTTAGGACGACACAGTTGTACACAGGTTTACACATACAAGCCACATTACATCACTGGGGACAGCTTAATACTGTCTGCCTTCCCTCGGGCTTGCATTTGATTTTACTAAAGAGCTATGAGAACTAACATTACAATTACTTGCTAGGACATAAAGCCACTGAAATGCACATTGTAAATAACACTATACAAGAATTCTTGCTTGCATTCAAGCTGGAATTCTTTTCTACTGAGAAAATTACCACAGGAAAAAGCAGCAGGAAACTGAAGGATACATTAGGAATGCAGATTTTACTAAGGTATGGAGCTGAACAATCTGGACTTGCTTGAAAAGCCACACTTGGGTGATTAACATGAATCAATGTTCCACACTCCTCTACTACAAAGCACAGTGTCCCTAGCAGCACAGCATCCTCCTAACATTAGGCTACAACAGCAGTAGGGAAACATAGCTTGGATGTGGAAAAACTTCCTGGTGCATTTCCTCCATTATTTCTTCCCTATTCAGGCATTCTCTGAAGACTCATTCTTCAGAAGATCCAATCATTCTCCAGAAGATATAACCCAACTTTTCCACTAGAACTTAAGTTTTGTTGCCACAGTTCTGTTTACAGATTCTGCCTCTGCAGACAGGCTCCTCCTTGCACAGCTTCCCAGCTTTAAGACTGGAAGCCTTCTGGAACAGGAACAGTTCGGAATGCAGAAAGTGTTCCCACTATCCCAAAATCCCCGAGTTCTGCCATATTTTCATATGGTTGTTTTTCCTACTGGAATAACCACCAAGCAAGATCTGGGGCTAATTCAAGGCACGCTATTGCAGGAAGAGTGTAGATAGAGTATTTCTACAGTATTTCTACATTACTTCTTCCCCTTCACCACCACCCACTTCAGGATCTCACCTTGAGCTCTGATTTCTTCTCCAAGGCTTTGGCGATGACCTTTGCTGCCTCCACACCCACCGTGTTGCCTTCCAGGCGCAATGCTTCCAGCCCATCAAATTCCTCAATTTGCTTGATCACTTCTTCAGCTGCAAAAAGCAGATGGTCTTGTTGGCCTCTTAACTACCATCTTAGGTACCACAGTAACATTCTGATGCAGCAATACTTGCTCAACTATACCCTTAGTGAAAACAGCCAAACAACATTATGTGAAAGAATCCTGAAACAGCAATGGGAATAGAGCTAAAGCATCAGGGCACGAGACAGAATGTTATCCATTCCCCACCCGGCCTTTTCTTAATTTATTTCTAGTCCTCTGATAGCCATCCTCCCTTACTTACAAAAGTAAGTTTCCTTAATTCCTAAGTAAGATTCCTCTACCATTCAGTATGTGGTTTAGGAGCTAGAGTGCGTGTGCCTACAAAGCTGCAAGGACTAAGCCAAAAGTTGACGGGAACTAGTTCCACATCGGCAGGAAAAAGTTCCCACAAAAGTAGATGCCTGTTTAGCAAACATGTCAAGGTGGAACAATTTAACTCTAGAGGAATCCTATGCAAGACACAGGAGACAACTGCAGACTCTCTCCTGTCACTGTGCACTTGTTATCATTCCCAAGCTCCAAAGCCTTCCTCTATAGTTCAGTGGCTTTGCAGTACTAAAATGGTATATAAAAAGCATCCTCTTTGGAATCAGTAAAAAAGGTACACACTATAGCAAATAACTTCTCTGAAGAACTGTTTCTTGAAGTGGCAGAAATGGTGATCTTACTAAGAATATATACATATTGTTTTATACATGTTGTTTACTACATTAGCAGCCCCTGCAAGACATGTTTTATTGGGAAACACACATATACGAGCAGGAGAGATATTACAGAACAAAATACTCAAGAAAAGTCTAAACAATTGATCAGAATTTGGGAAGAAACTGGACTATTGCAGTAGACTAACATATCAGCCCATTCCTCTGTGCAGGTCTTTGAAGCATCTGCTTGTTCCAAATGCTGTCACACACTTGCTTACTCTTTTTAAAAGAAGCACTGACTTCTAACACACAGTGACAGAACAGCAAGAAAACAAGAATCACACACCAGAGCACTAAACCACAATTCTGCAGCTGTAGTACTGCCAGTGTAGCAGGTCAAAGTAGGGTACAAAAGGGAAGGAAATGTCTCTATCAGAAACAGCTGTAGCTAAAAGACCCTTCCATCACAGATAATATTAGGACAACTCGGCCATGCAGGATTAGCAGGAGGTTTACCACAGGACTTTAGAATTTCAGGGAGACACTTCCCAAACAGAAGGGTATTTTCTCTTACCATCTTCAGCTGTATTGAGCTTAAGGCTCTGGCCTTTGAAGCTCAACTGCCCACCACCCACTTTGGTTTTGGCAAGTGACTCCGCAAGCTTAGTGATATCTTCTGATGCCATTTTTCTGCTTTTTCAAATGTTAAAAGCTGTCAATTAAAAGAAACTGTCAACATAAAAAAAAGCAAATTACAATACATAGTCTGTATGAATATTCATATTTATTTGAAGACTAATGTGTTTTTTTGTTCCTGAGATATCGAATTGAGTTTTCAGTGTCATCAGTGTTTTCCCCATAGCTCACTTATGGCAGCTAGGCTAGATTAATATTCCAAAGCCAGCCAGTCAGATGGTGTTAATTCTTCCAATACTGACGAGACTTGGGTTTTGATGGAGTTGTTACACTTCATAAATATCCAGTAGCTAGAACTATAGATTAAGGCCACATTAAGGCATTACTCTTGGCACAACACTTTTACAATTAAAATGTAACATTCCTCTCTCCCCAAATGCCATCTTTAATTATACATACTGCACAATTCCCCTGTAGTCCAAAGCAAGCTAGGATGAACACAACTGTTTTTCCTTTTCAGTGATATCCCCAGTCATGCTCTCGTCAGCACAGTTCTAGAACCACGGAGTTGCTGAAAACATCATGTGTGTTGCACACACAACTCTCTCAGGTTTGTGGGTTCTTTTACGTTTCGCATGTCCCACACAGATTTATCACACACATTAAACGGGATGATCTTACAGTGAAGATGGATTAGCAAACATTTTGCCCTGAGGCACAAGTTTGAAGCCAGCCATGCCTAGTAGCATCTGCATACCCCTATTTAATGAATATCAATCACTGTCTGAGGTAACTGGCCTGCATTCATTCCGCAGGATAAACAGAGCATGTTTCTTATCCCAGCACCTCCGCTGGGATAAAAGACTACACACAACTGGCTCCCTTCCATTCTTGTATGACTTAGAAGTGGCCCCACACTCTTGCAGCTCTTTAAGCTCAACAGCGCTGCTTTTAAATCACCCCTTAAATGAAAGTTGTACATACATCCTTTCCTCCTGCTACCTAGCTATGAAGTATTTGCCTTCAGCTTCCTCAGAATATGGCTTGTCTTCAGCTTTCATTAACTTTAGTACAGTACTGCTTTTGGACACAGGAGAGAAAAAAAAATCTCCAAGGTTGATCAACACCACTTTTCTAGGATGACTGTCCTCTCAAGTAGGTGCTGCCAGTAGAAAGATGCTCACATAACTTACTCCACTCCTACCAGGCCACACAGACACCAGACTGATGGGACATTCCCAACCTCTGCCAATGCAACACTGAGAAGGAAGAAAGAGAGGACGTCCTCCAAGCCATGAAGGCTTTACCAGACAGGAACAAAAGTTAGGATCCAAAGAAGTCAGTAATTGAACTAGGTGATCAGACTGACTTTACTTTTAAATACCTCATCACCCTACTGTTTAAAAAATGAGTTCTGTTCTACTATGATGCCCTTCTATACTCTACAGGTGTACTCACTGCCTTTGCTTCTCTTTTCCTTAAATACCCTTTTACTTTCTTATCCTTACAGGCTACTTCCTAATTGCAACACACGAATTCATTATCACATCCCGATGCACATTTTGTTGCAAACACATCAGCCACACCCAATTGTCAACCTACCAGCAGCCTCTCCACTGCTAGCTCTTCTGCACGGAAAGCTTTAAAAAAAAAAAAGCACAAAATAATTAAAGAGTTAGTACTCTTTGAAACTAAAAACAAAATCTGGAAACGCCTGCAGAGAGGTTTCCTCGTTACTTAAAGACTGTGTGAAGCTGCATGCTTCCCGACGGTCAAAAAAGTTAGTTCAGCCGAATGCTTTTATTTACAACAGTTTGTCCACGCCAACAGACAGCGCGCCGGCTACCTGCTGTGCCATCCTAAGGGGGAGCCTGCTCTGCGCTCCCGGCAACGGAGGGCCCAGCACCCGGCCCCCGGGAGCGCTGGGTGACAGCCCAAGGTTACCCCCCCGCCA